CAGCTGCAGCTGAGGGGGGCGAAGAGCGCCTTGTGCTGCGGCCGCGGCCCTGCCAGACTTACCGCTCGGTGCGCGAGTGTAAACGGCGCGCACACGCTAGCGTTTGTTTCGGCACAACACACGCAAAGCCTGAGAGAAAATACATAAATGTCAGCATTTCAAAAAAACATTTAGGCAAGATTGCTTACTGTTAGGCTCCAGTCCTGCCTTATCGCACAGAGTCTCGATTGCCCGAGGCTCACCGCAGAAGACACCAAGGGAAGATCAGGCCTCGATTACACGCTGCGATCACATACAATGAAGGAGAAATTAAACTACGATATGCATACGCACACACTGCTTATGTGCTTTATGATCTGTGCACGCACGTAACACTGGAGCGCCTGGCCGACCACGCATGTGTTCGTACAAGCTCAATAATCAGAAAAAGCACGTTGGGGAGTTTTCTACAGAGCTAATCGGAATTCCTCACACCCAGCCGACGCTGCTGCCCGTCACCCGCACAGGGCAGCAAGGGGGGACGCGCCACAGAACCGGGCGGTGCGACCAGGTGGGAACGGGCCGCCAACACGCGGGGCCTGGCCCACAGCCCGCGCTCATCGGGAAAGGGTCGCCCTCGTGAACAGACCTGGCGCGCCATCAGAATCTGCAAAGCGTAGAGATTGCTTTGGCAATTCAACAGGCATCCAAGGCATATTTATGGCCAACTTACAGGTGTTACTCTTCAAATAACTCCTACAGAAGGGCAGCCATGCTGACTTGGTCTAAAACAGTCTTACAAACTTTCTCATCAGGTTAGAACAGCCACCGAGTGAATTAGACTACAGGGGTACAAGAGCCAGAAAAAATGCAGATAAAACTCCATCTGATGAAGGGTCTGTAATTATCACATTCTCCACAAAACCTCTGCTGCATACAAATATGAGCCTACCGCTGCAGGCGAGATCGGTTCAGGGCTGAAGACAAGCTGACTCCCATGGCACCCAAGCACTAAACAGGTGATGGCAGTGGACAGAAAACAGCAATAAGTAATAAAACTTACTGATTTTATTAAAACCAGAATGTAAGAATGCATTTTGCCTTGGTTATCTCAATTTGGGAAACAGAAAGAGGATGCCTTCAAAAGAAAATTTCCAACTTATTCACATTACAAATGCAAAATGCACCAAGCCTCTATAGAGCAACTGCTTTTTTTCCTGTTTCAGCGGAAAATAATTAGAGCTTTGATTTTTCCAGCTGAAAAGGGTAAAGAAAGAAACAAAGAACACTTTCAATTCTAATACAACATTAATTACTCTAGGACTAATCTTTTCTAACATACAGAAATTAGTTCAGTATTACTAACTACATTAAAGCCAAATTAATTCAACTATAAAACAGGCATATTTTATGTGATCTGTTAAAAAAAAAAAACGAAAACGAGGAGTGTAAACACAGCATTTTCTTTTAGCCCCTGTAACAAAACAATATTTAATTTAACAATAATATTTAATTAAGGAGTGAAGAGGGGAAAAGAACACTGGAAAATAATACAATTTATCACCTAATACTTATTCAAAGCCATAAATCTGTACAAAACATACTATTCCCTAGAAATATTTTTCATTTAACCTTGGATTCAAGTGTAGTTGTTGCTGCACAATTCACATAATTAAACACGGGAAAAAATCTACCTACTTAGATTTCTTCGTATTCTACAGCTTGACTGCATTCCAGGCTGTCACATGCCCAGTTCCAACTATTTTCCCCACTTTAAGTTCCTTTTAGAAAAAAATGTTGAAAAGGTTGGAAACATTATTTTTAGGAATAAGGCTTCCAAACATTTTGAAACCCTTAATCTTTTATTAATTGACATTCTCACATATACTGAATAGATATAATCCTCTCAGGGTTGCTCCTAAGAAAAGGCAGAAAAAAATATCACGCTCCTTGCTGGGGCGAGCCTCTATCACACAGAACTAATTTGTGCTACATCATGTCAGACACGAACCACAACTTACTCTCAACACTTGAAAGCTCCTTTACCAAATTTTTGTAAGGGGGATGACAAGTTAGAAAAAAGTTCATGGTGTTACTCAAAAAACTCTTTCTGGTGTCCACTGACAGCAAAGATGCTTTGCTTGCCATAGTAAAGAAGAATCGTTTATCTAAAGAATGGAAGGAAACCTGCCAATAATTTACATATCCACATACTTTGTTTAGTAAATTGAACTTGGAACTAGTGCATTCATTTAAAATTGTTTAAAGTTTCCCAAAGGACAACTAAGTAATTTAATTCTCTAGTACCATGCAGCATAAATAAGATTTCTGCTCCTGGGGATTTTCTTCTTTACCTGATACGTCACAGCTATTTAACGGATTAGTACAATGTATTTCATTATTCTTCATACAGAATATTACGGTAGAGCAAGGTTAGAGGGAAGTCTTAGCTTTATATGTGTATTACATAAAGATGGACAGACACTCAATTTATACTTAAATATGTTAACATCCCAAGACTGCAAGATGAATTTAAACATCAGGAGAAACAGAAGGTGGCAATGGCAAAATTTTTCTCACTGGAGAAGACAGATAACAGAATACACACTTGGATATCATCTCAGTCACTACACTGCAGGCATAAGAAAGGTTTTTCATGTTCTTCACACTGGTGCAAATATAACAAAAATGGCATTTCAGTTAATCATCTGTGACAGATGTGCATCATTTCAACTCATGAAAGTACCGGTCTCTATACACACATGTATCTAGGCCTGATTTTTGAGATGCACTGAGTGTGTATAGCTGTTGTAAACTTGACACAGATAGCGCTGCTCAAAATTCATTCTTGTGCTGAACGGGTTGGAGTTGTTTTCCTGAAAAGAACTATATTTTACGTGAACTGTGATTTTATTTTTTTCAGCTAATACAGTATCATACTTTACTTTTTGGGTGGCTTGATGGATATCCAGTTTTTAGCTGTTCTGTCTTTGTGATAATCACTAGGTGGTTTAGGCCTTTTATTGTTGACTTTTTTTTTTTTACGTGACCATTATCTGACTAAAGGAGAAATGTAGAAAGAAAAATAAAAAAGAAAGGAAAATTGGTACATAACAGTAATTTTAAGTGAACTATTAACCCACCGTAGTTGGTACAAATAAGTATTTCTGCTGACTACACACATACTCGTGAAGTTTAATCCACTTGTATCAGAGTCAACGTAACATTGATTCCCAATTCACTACTTGTGAAACTATTTACAAAAAATTTGAGGCATTTTTCTAGTTGTTTGGTATGCTTTAAGTATTGCTAAAATACACCAAAAAATCCTTTCATGTACCAATTTTAACCATATTCTCAAATTTTTGTTAATTGATACTTTTAGGAACGTATACATTTTCACTGCTGGCACATTTATAAAGCTTATTTAAAAGCTTAAAAAGCTGCACACTGCTTTTGAATACCTGCTATTCAACAAGAAAGTCTGATAAAAATATTATAGAGATAATAAAAAAGTTAGTTCTTTTTCGTGCAGTGTCACTTAATGGTTATTGACAAGGAGAAAAAAATATACACAAGATCTCGCAAATCCACTACCAAAACCGATTGAGGGGCTGTAATAAAAAGCATGTTTCAATAGCATTAAGCTTGTTAATGTTCTTCTTTCTTAACATCTATTTATAGTTAATGTTTTAGAAGTCAGAATACATACAGTCTCACCTTTAAAAAGGCACTCCTCAGAATTCGTATAAGCTGATTTCTGTCCAGGAGCACATGAATATTACCTGCCTTGGTTTAGTAACACTCCTATATAAGTGGCCAATTACTCTGCAGAAGCATCAGGTGTAGAAAACCAAAATATATTTGTTTTTAAAAGTACACATACATGGCTCTGTTTTCTAAAAATAAAAATGCACCTGTATATGAAAACTGGTGTCCTTACCAAAATCAAATTTAAAAAGAACCATTATTACTACATCCCACTCCCAAAAAAGGATTTGACAATCTTTGCAAATAGAGAACAACCACAATCATTTTGTGTTTTCAGCCTAGAAATCTGACAGCTTTCCTTTAACATTCAAATTTTCTTTCTGAATAAAGTATATGAGGTGCGGTTAAAAAACAAAGTGATAGAACCTGAGCAATTTTTGAGCCTCTTGCTTTTCTGCTTTCTATCACTGAAGTAATATGAGCCATTTTTTCAATATGCCACAATCTCAAAGTAGAATCCTGAGAAAAAGATGCAATTATTTTGATGTATTTGCATATTACCAAAAGAGTGATTTACATCATTTCCATAAGGATGAAATCTCATCTCATCTCATCAGATGAGCCCTCTCAATATGAGAGCTAAACTCTCTCACATTTAAATATCATGTCTTTGGAAACGATCTTTAGCAATCCTAAAATTGCCTGCACATTTTAAAATAACCAAAAATAAACATACTTATCAAATTCTTTCAAAGATTTTCTGTAATTACTTGAGGTAAATACTGATTACAACTTAGCACTTTTATGAACAACTTCACCATTGTTAAATTTCATCCAAAAAAAGCTGAAAGCAAGAGATGAGATTTTCACATCCATTTATAAGTTAGCTTCTGCAAGCACATCAAGAATTAGTGATTACCTTTGAGGCTGAAAGAATCCATTTCTTGTTTTTGCTAATCACAACATCTGTCATCCAGTCCCAATGACCCTACAGTAAAGCACAATTTACCTATAACACAAGGAAAACTTTATTATTTTTATTATAATAAAAAAAAAATCTATTTGTACCATAAATCCATTTTGAAATACAGTGAGAAAATTCTTATCTAGAGTGCCTCACGTCCAGTCAAGAAAAAAAATGTTGTTATGAAGTTCATACTTTCCTACACGTACCTGAAAACAGTGACTGTTTCGATCTCTTCTGAGTTGTAGCACTCAGAAGAATGACAGCTACACAATTACCAGGGGTTTGAGCTCCACTTAAGCATAGGACTTTTCTATTTTTTAAACAGTTTTATAAAGAATTGTAAAAAGAGAGTTGACTTCTAATACTCATTACCTAAAAAAAAAAATCTTGAGGCTGTTTATCATGCGATAAGGTAGCAAAGAGCATTGAGTTGGTGTAAGACTAGAAACAGGTTAAAATCTAAAATGAATTATTTATTCCAGCTAGGGAGGTTATTCAAACATGAATGGTATTAACAGATAAAATTCCTAGAGTTTAGGAACGCATGCTGTCATTTTGATAGACAAATGCCACACCTGAGAAATACAATAAAAAGATCAACGTATATTTTTCCAGCATAGAGAAGTAGTCAAACATGCATACATAAAATGTGGTTTTTATAGCAGAATCTTTAAAACATGTTTTTAAATTTAGTTATGAGCCCAGAATATAATTATACCAAGGCACGGATACTAAACTGGAATTCTCCATAGTTACAAAGATATTAGCATTTAAACCCATGCCTTCTTTTTTATGGGAAACTGAGTTACTTACAGTGATTGCTGTCAACTGGGAAATTTGCAGTAGCTGTATTATGTAAGGCACCGATGCTGGTGGAGAATGTGTCCCGTTACTGCTCAAAAGGCTTAATCAGTACAGTTCCAGTTCCGAAGGGTAGGTAGCTTACATTTAAGGTAACGGGTATGAGGCACAGGCTTATGAGCTCTCCTACATGAAGACGCTATCTTGAATGCGACAGCAGTTGAAAGCTATTTTTAAGCCCAAGGTTTTCAAGGAAAGTGGTCTTTTCTGAGATCATCCAGGTGGGTTTATTCATGAGTTTTTTAACTAAGCCTCGAATAGCGTATGCAGTAAGTAAAAAAGTCTATTAAAATCATATTTTCGTAAGATAGGAAAGAGCCAAAGTTGCAAATCTGAACTCTGACATTGCTTGACTTCTGTGAAATTACCATTTGCAAAATGCATGCACGTAACTTTATGAATACTGGTAATCCTTTTCTATGACTCACATGTCTGACCATTAGTTCAAGTCTTGTGGATTGTTTCCACTAAAATAAGAAACGAATGAAAGGTATTGTAATACAATATGGTATGTTTGCAAAAAATAAAGTCATGATGGCACAAAAAAACCCTAATGAGAGTTGGACTTTTATTTCATGCAGGTATTACTTACCACCCCAAATTTGGGTTGTATTACCATGGATATGGAAGAAAAGAGGAGGCCTAGCTCTAAGCAGGGATAGCTAAATACTGAATAGCTACCTCATTTACAGAATTGTCCATCCTAAAAAGTACTGTAACATGGTGGACCACATCCCCATCACTATAAGCAGTATTGTAAACTATGTAACCTAGGGACTGAGCTAAGCTTGACAACCTCAACACTGATATTTACATTTTTTTTTAATGCTTCCTTTTTAGTATACTGTTTTCTGCGCACATAAGCAAGCATGTAAATGTACAGATATACCAGAGTGTGGCATTTCAAAATGAATATATGCACTATCCAGGCTCTTGTTACTTGCTGGAAGAAACTCCCTCCTAAAACATAGGTACAACTCCATTCAATATAATCCTTAAATGAGCTTGTTCATAAAGAGAAATGTAATAACTTATTAACAACTGACTTGACAAAGGTAATATCTTTGTAGCTAATTGTGTAAGAATAAACTGTTCTAGGAAATTAAATCACACAAATCCAGGAGATATTCCTGCCTGTATCTAAAAAGGACGAGCACAGGTATTTGGCAGACAATGAAATATACAATGCTTTTAAACGAGCAATACATTTTACACCTTCTCATCAAACTAGTGACCAAATAAGAGCTCAGTACCTTTAAGCTTAGCTTTTTATAGCCTGCCTCTGTATCCCATATAGCTATAGTTTCATCATATTCACCAGACAGAACAAGTGATGCTGAAATATAAAATCAGAATACTGTATTTTATCTTTGCTTTGTCATACAGACTTATAAAAGAGGCTCCTTGTAACAGGGAGTCAGACTTTATAAATAAAAATTTAAATAATGAGCTATTAGTCATGCCTTAACGAGATAGCAGAAGTTCCTTTCTGCTACTTGCTGTTAATGTTCTTAATTTTGTAAATATTAATAGATAAATTTAGCAAACACACAACTGAGTGGAAAAAAATATACATGAAAAATTTGTTGACTTAGAAAATTAAGGAGATACCTTGTTTTTAAATTAAAATATAGAGAATACTTTCAGAATTGTTAGGTCAACTGTGACTAAAAACAAAAAAAGTGGAGTTTCGTGTGGAAAGCATGCTTTCAGATTCCAGTATTCATAGGCCTATCTGCATTTGCATGTCTTCAAGCCACAGGTGCATTTTTCCCCACGAAGTTGCTATTTATTTATTTGAGTTGCCTAACTGAGAAGGCACTGTATGAGTACGACTGCAGATTAACCCGCTGTCAGCAGTTCAGGAGTCATCTTTACTGGAGTATTCAGATGTGAAGTTGCAAAAGAAAACAGCTGATTAGATCGTAATGTACAGAAATTCATATTAGTCCATCGCAGTGAGGAGAACACCAGCTGTTTCAGCGCAGCAGCAGTTTGCAGTAACAGTAATTTCATGTTGTGGAGGGACTAGGAGTTGTCTATGATCTAGTGAAAGTAATGGAACTAGGGCAGTAAGAAATACCTCCCTACTACCTCCACTCAGATATAGGTAAACTGGGGAGTCTGTTTCTTCCTCCTATTCTCCTCCTATTCATCCAAGCGTCAAGGAGACATCACGTTCCAGGTGCCAAACTCTCTTGCTATAACTCATACATAGCATCTACTTTGAACATGGTAGTTTATGTGCTCCATCAGTATAGCTGAGAACATCCATGAAGTTTTTCAGAAGTACATTACTAGCATATGTTGTTTGGGCTGTGAAGTAACATTACTTTTGGGGGTACTAACAAAGATATACTCATTTTCTTAATTATTACAGATCAGTACAGTATTTACTGAACATGTTTTTTCAGCTAACTCATGTTAGCAGAGTATCTGCAAGTGCTAAGTTAATCTTCTAACATAGTATTGTGCTTATACTCCATCATAATCTTTTTATTATACCTCTTGATGGGTATATCAATTAAGCAAGTGTTCCAGTTGCCTGGTTAAGACAGAACACAGACCATCAACTTCAATTTACTTATTTACACGGACATAATTTTCTCATAATTAAACATGTTCTCTTGGAAATTATGAGTTAATTACCTACATGATTAGAGTGGTCACTTGTGGTTCATGTGAGATGTCCTATACATAGGCATTGAGATACATCATGCACTAGTATTAAGATAACTCACCATCTTGGCTAAAAAGGCAGGAACTAACAGAACCTTCATGTCCTTGGTTCAAGGAAATGGGTTCATGACACTGGAATTCTCCTGTCTTCATGTCCCATATTTTTAAGCTTTTGTCCCAGCATGCTTTGCACGAGTAATGACCATCAGAGGTAAAGCAGCAATCTGAGGTAGCATTGGTGTGTCCCCTGAAACAGATGAAAAACAGAGGAAGAGTGAGCTTTTGTAACCATTACAAATCTGTCAAAGAACCTCCTGCAACATTGAGCACCCTGTCTCCATCCAGTAAAGCACAATAAGCATATTCTGAATTTTAACCATATGATTAGTTCTGTAAAGTCTTTGGAGCTGCTTACAACCTCACAGCCAGCACGGTCTTAAATCCCTTATTGGATTAGGTCATTTTGTAGGATTGAACCCTACCTGTTAAGTGACAAGTGACCAGCTATTTTTTTCATTGAACACAGCTTAACAAGAAATTGTTTAGCAGCTACAACACAAATGCATTTTACTAAAAGTAAGTTACCAAAAAAAGCCACCCATTTTTCATTAAATAAATAGCATGCATCTATCTCTACATGTAAATTTCAACTCAAACATTCAGAGGAAAAAGACTAAAATTCTAGATTAAAGTCTAATTTTGGAAGCAGTGATACCCATCAGAAAAGGAATCTGGACGTTCCAGAAATGGGTGAGGACCCTAGTGCTTCCTGAAACCTACAGCGTGGAAAGGATTATGAGCATCTCTTACAGGAAACAATGCTGTAGTCACTGCAGTTTAAAGGAAAACATTACAATGTTGCAGATTGAATTTCCCATCCAAAGTCATTCCTAATCCCTCAAAGACAATTTTATTACAGTGTTTAAAGGCAGACTCTCTCTCTGATTATTGTTTTAAGAATTCAAAGCTAAGTTGGTTGAGTTTATTTAAAGCCATTGATATTTTTAATGGTTGATTTGACATTTCTATTGTTGCATACTTCCTTCTTAAAATGATAACAATATCCTAAAGTGACATAATGTTTTTACTGTATTACTGACTTCAGTGAGAGAGAGAAGGGTTTAGCACGTGAAGGCTCAGGAGATCATACTGAGCAAGGCTTCTGGCACTGGGCATGACCTTCTCCAAAAGCATATAAGGAAAAATTATCTGGAAAAATTATCTCTGTACTCAGAGAGTGGCCATAATTGGTTCACTGTGAAAATGGAAGTACATATTGAGCTGGGGTCCACAGCATCTGTCCTGAATCCAGTCCTATTTCATACTTCCATTAACAATGTAGATAATGAGATAAAGAGTACAGATACAAAATGAAGCCAAAGAGGGTCTGCAGTTATCCAAGGGAGAAGATTAAAATTCAAAATTATCTTCACAAATGGAAGAAATAATCAAGAAAATAAAAAAGTTATAACAGCCTCTATAGAAAACAATGCTGTCGTCACTGCAGTGTCTAGGAGTGTTACAGTGTTTAATCAATTATCTAATAGGCATGCTGCCTGATCAGGTCAATTCTGTCAAGTCTGACGTTCTGTAGTAACATACATAACATACATAATCAACCGCACAGATAGGGGGTGTGAACAACGGACTACATCACAGCTCTGCAAAAAAAGGATGCAACAAATATTAACGGCTCTTCACCATCATGCTGTCAAAAAAAGGGTAAACCTCATCCCAGGATCTATGAACAGAGCACATCCACGGAGAAGCACGTAATAATAATTCATCTCTTTTTTTTTTTCCGGTTAGAAGGAATACTGTTTACATTATGGAGCCATGTAATTCAAGAAAAATGTGGGCCAATTGGAAAGATCTGAGATCAACAACAAGAATGATCAGCAAAATAGGAAATAATAATTAAATATTAAATGAATAAGGATGGTTTAATCTACTGAAAAGATGACTTGCCAGACACAATAGAAGTTCTTGTATATATAGAAAACTGCAGAAGAAAACAAGGGAATAATCTGATCTCCAAGTCTGAAGTGGATCTAAACAGAAACACGTGAGCTCAAGCTGCAGCCGAAATAGTCCACCTTAGGAAAATCCTGCTAATGATTAACATAGTAAGGCAATGGAGCAGATTGTTGGGAAGCCTGTGAGGTCTTCACTGGAGCTCATTAGGAGCAGAGTAGATCATCCTGTGGTTGCTCTGAGGCCCATGAATTTTATGAAGAGCCAAGGTGATCTGGCTGCAGCGCAAAACCTAATTATCACAAAATATTCTGTAAGAACTCATGATTAATGACCAATTCCCAGCATCTAGATATATTTTCTCCTTTTCCTCTGTATTATTTTTGCTTCACTCCATAAAGTTTTTAAAGACTTCACTATTCTAAGTAATATTTTATCTCCTCATTTGTGAATGATTATATATTTTTCCTTATTAGTAGAAAGTAGAACAAGTTTACACTGCAGTACCATATTGCATATGCTATCTTCTGCCTCTATACATACCCAAGAACCTAGAAGCTCTAAAAAAAATATCACTAGAAACGCTTACAGTCATCAAAATACAATTTTTCAATTATTTACAGAAGGAAGCTTGAGTGGACCATTTTTTTCATGCTTTCTGTATGTCATTTGCTTGCCTATTACTTTATTTAGTTCAACAATTATTGTTCAATTTCTCTAGTATAAATCTTAGCATAAATCTCACTGATAATTGTGAAAGATGCAAACAATGCCATGCATAATTAACCACAGTATTGTTTCTTACTCATTAGTTGTAATTGAGGTGGATCATAGAATCATACCCCATAGCTTTATGGTCTTATCGTATGATACTGAAGTCACGCATTGGTTATCAGGGTCAAAACAACATCTTGTGACTGTACTTTTGTGATGACCTATACAAAAAACCATCAAGTGAGACTATTAGTTATTTTGAATAATTACATCTGGATCTCAGAACACGGGTCTGAAAGGCAGAACCACCCACAACATCTATGCATCAGTCTATTTCCGTAACACTGTAATTTCAAAACTGCTATTTCACTAGCTAGGACACCTCCTCACCTACCTCTCAATGAAAGAGAGGCCTCATCGTTATTGCAGACAGTAGGAATATGAACCTGTACTCAGGCACTCAACATACACAGTTAACGTAAATTCACATGCTGCCCTGTATTTCTCTGCTCCATTCCTGAAAATAAGTCTGGAAGTGTGGCCCCATAATGGCAATGACAGTTAATTACTCAGACTCTTAAGGAGCACCTAAGCAGGTAATTATACTTTAAGAATGCAAATAGCTCCATTAAAATAATGTAAACAAAATATGTCCTGATAGCGACACCTAACAGAGACAGTTCTAATGAAGCTATTACGATCCATTTGTTGCACTTTTTATTTTTAAACCAAATTGTTTTACCATCAGGCTCTGATTCACAGGAGCATGTTAACCATATGCTAATTTAACATTTGTAAGACTGCTCATATATTTAGAAGCTGATTCTGCAGGAATGGCAGACTCCCTGACCTGCAGTCCTGAGTGGAAGCCTCATGGGACTGAGGTCTGACTGATGAAATTACCTTCAACGGCAAATTCTGCTTCAAAAAAGAATCACTGTTGGTCTAATTTTGGCCCATTATCTCCTTTTTATAAGCTTATTCTGAAAAATACTGGGTTTAATGTCTTACAGATAAGTTTCTTTTGCCTTTCTCAAGTAAGGATCTTTGAACTGAACTGAATTAATTCATTTTCTCTTTTTTTTTGTAAGCAAAAAAAAAAATAATCAAGAGCTGCATAAACAAGATGTAGACGTCATTAAGTCTTACCTTGGATATGTGCCACTACTGTTGCACTTACTGCATCAAAAACATATATAGTAATTTCTTTGTCTGAACCAGATACCACATACCTACCATCACAAGAAATATTACCTGAGGTTGCAAAGCCTTCATGTTCTACTGTCCACTAAAGAGAAAATAAAAGGTTTTAGAAACGTGCTTAAGGGTTAGAGAGAGTTTTACAGCAGACTTTCTATAATCTGTAAGCAGAGTCAGAATGAAGGCTTTTGATATTACTTTGTTTCGGTGAAAGCTGATAGATGTCTTCATATCCAATTTTTCTATTTTTGCATTAGCAATAAAATTAGACAAGGCCACCCTGTTCAAATCCCAAAATGTTAATTTAATCAATCTTACATGTATCTTCTGAGACAGGTTATTATTATCATACCCATTTGTATCTGAAATAACTGAGACATGTTCATCAAGAGACTTATCCAAGATCAAGCAATTATCAGTACCAAAACTAGGACTAAAAATCAAGCCTACCTACCCTAACTATATTGTACTGTGCTAACAAAGAATGTTTTGTTTTCTCATTTATCAATAACAGAGCAATAAATCTGAACTTTACAGTTGTACCTTCTGCAAGATGCATTCAAAAGGATACATACAAGCATTTTTCCTGTTTCCATATCCCAAGCCTTGACAGTGTTATCATATGATGATGTTATCACTCTAAAAATGGTGTTAGTGAAAACAGCAATGTTTTCACTTACAAGAAGGTATTTAAAAAATAAATGACAACATTTAATTCTGACAATGATTTGACATCCTCACACCCACTAATTTAAAACAGATTTTTAAAGGCTACAGCAAAAATTATTCCATAGCTTAGTTGAAAAAAGGATTATTTATATTTCAGATAGAAACTAATAATAAAAATGCCATATGTAATTTTCAGTGCAAGCAGTCAACTCAGTTTTGTTTCATCCGTTACAAGATATTTAATTATTTCTAATGTTAGAATAATTTTAAAGCCATTATGATGTCTTTTCTTTAATGAACGCGAAGTGTTCTTGTCAGTAGGGTTTTCTGGATTTTCAGTGGTTATGTTGCTGGGTAACCCTCTACCACAAATGCTGCTCTGCACAAACACAAAGCCACATCAGACAACAAAGCTATTCAATAAAGTTTACTAAAACTGGCAGGTTTCCATGAAATGGGAGGTCAGAAATTTTTCCCTCACAGTTTTATTAAAATATTCCCAAATATCTGAAGTAATACTTACATTGAATGTCACTGGATGTGACAAATGTTTTTAGTACCATTGTGGCTTTTTATTTTGATAAAGTTCATAAACCGTCACTTTTATACATTTTGCCCAAGAAACTCAATGCATTAAGACTCTAACAACTAAAATACAATTAGATTATTAAAATCTTTTTCTTTTCTCCATATGTGTATGCTTCCCACAACCAGCACAATCTCTGCTCCTAAACTGAAACATGTAACACAAAAGACCACATGAAGTTTATGAACTGGTAGCATTTTTGATTGGAAAGTGGTTTCCAGGGCCATACACAATGGTATTTTACTTGCTGTTGAGCAGTTTTCAACAATATACGCAATTGCAGTAGCCAGCATAGCATGTGTACTATTCAGTGACCAAAAAACTAAACAGTCAACTCTACAATCTGATAAAAATTGATTTAAACTATGGCTTAATGATAAAATATGCCAGAAATAGTACCCCGGAGGCACTGCATGACCTGCTTAACCAGATGTTAATATACGCTGCAGTTGTTTTAATTATTATATCCACAGATTGACACTGGATTAAGATGCATTTCTTCTTTAATTGACAAGGCAGGCTTAATGGAAAGGCTATAGAATATTAATAAACAATAGAGACAGAAGAGAACTTTTATGAAGGTATAAATCTCACTGGCAGATGAACCCCTGAACCTTGGCTAATTCAACATTGCTCTTTTATACAAGTGATATATATTTATATACCCCTTTCAGAACATATGGCAAAGACAGACTTCCAGCCCCATGTAACTCAAAACCAGTATTAGACAAGTCCTTTGCCCTAAAAGAGGCCATAATCTATCATATTATTCCAGCATGCATTTAAGACAATAAAAAGATTCCTGTTTAATTCAGCAGACATCATATGCAAAACAGAAAAGATTGAAGAGCTCCTGTACAAATTGTAGGTGAGAACAAGGTGAGATTTATGGTAGTTCATGTAGATGAAGGAGTCAGGCAGTAAACAGTCTGCTAGCAGAGTATGGACAGCATAAATGAAAGTGCAAGGGTGGACAGAAGCAGGAATTGTGTATGGAGGAAGGGAGATGTAAGACAAAGTTATAACACAATGACTTATTGTGGAGCACAAAAGTAAGCAAAAGAAGTCTGGCTTTGATGCAGTACAAGTTAGGAAACCATAGGAAGGATTTAAAAAGTAACTTATTTGTTCTAAATTTTGTACTAAGTGTTTCCACATGCACTGAAATTGAACCTTGAAATCACAAAAACTATCTTTTTTTTTTTTTTTTTAATAAATTAAGATAGAAAATGGTCACCTTCTGTCACCAGAAGTCAAGTCGCACTCAGAAAGTGGGGTGGTGTGTTCTTCAAAAAACCTGAATAGGAAACCCTTTCTCAACATCCTTGAATAAATCCAAAGGAGTTTGATTAGGAAGTGCTTTGCTAAATTGCAAAAAAAATACAAAGCATCACAAAATAAGGGAAAACAAAACTTGTGAAATCAGTAAAGTTAGCCTTACTTTAGTTACTCTTACAAGCTCAGACTCTCTACTCCTTCTTTTCATTTCAAGACTGACTGAAACAGAGTTCTTCATCTATCGCACACAGACTTCTATTTATCTCCTTCCCATCACAATAGTTTTCACCAGAAATTTCTTGAGAAGAGTTGTCCTTAGACTCTCACATCCATGTCCATGCCTAAATCCTGGCAAATCTTTCTTCCTAAACTAATGTATGGCTTTCCATTTTCATTCACATAGTTAAAACTCACTCTCAAGGCCTGCCACCCCTGCATCAATTATTGCAACATCATTTTCTTCACAAATGCAGTCTCCCCTACTGGTATCCATGTGCAATGCTCATCCACAGATTTCCCTTTACTGTCTGTATTATGTCATTTCCTCTGTTTGTGTTCCTCCATTGATTCCTCGGTCTCAGTCACAAATACAAGCCTCTTGTCTTCAAATACAAAGCTCTCTGTGATTTATCCCCAGACATCATCTCCCTTCTGCGCTACCTTTGACGGCAGCCTTTGTCACTCAGTTGTTAGATTTTCAAAATTTATGAGTTCCTCTTTGCTGTCCTTCATGTTTTGAAGAAGTCACCTATAAATAACTGGAAATCTCTCTCATAATACAAAATTCCTCTTAAATTCCTGTTTTGTGATTCCTACAACAGCAATCAACAGATTGCTGAAGTGCTGAGATGATGACCCATTCTGCATTACTGGTTCATTTATATTACTCCATCATCTTCTATCTACTTAGTCTGTTACACAGAGAGTTTTAAGTGATTTCAGGAAGGGACTATCTTTTTGTCATATGTGTATAATGTTCAAAGCATAGTATAGTACTAACCCATGAGTAAAGCCTTGAGGTTCTTCAGTAATACAAATAAAAATAGGAATAAAGTTTTACAAATGGATCATTTGCCTGACTGTAAACATCAAAAACAAAACAATCAGGAGGACTGCTGACATGCAGAGTAACTCACAGACCACAGTATCACAGGATCAGTCATCATACCTTCATCTAGGTAAATAATCTTCGATTTCCATGATTAACCCAATTATTTCAATTAGATTTTTGTTTGCGTAAGTAGCAAGAGGTTTCAGAATCAGTCTGGAAGTAGGCAACAAACTCCATTCATTGTGTATGTGTTCTTTCATTATATATTCTTCAATATGAGAATAAAATCTTGCACCCCTGACTACTCCTCCCCTTTTTAACATCAACTGTCAAGCTGACGTTAAAAGATCTAGAGCTGCTTCCTTACAAGGCTTTCACTTGAAGGAACGATCCTGCTAACTTGGCAGCTCTCGATAACAAACAAAACTGGAGTGGAAGTAAATTTATTTTTCACTTTTTCACTTATTTTCTGAATGTGTGTCAATGCACTACAGGCCTAACAACTGACACTAGAATCATTAGGAATGTCTCTAAGACCAAAGGCAAAAAAAAAAGATCAAAGTTACTGTATGTTCTTGTTCTATTTTTCCGAGTAAAAAAAGCCTTGCAGTCACAACTGCCCTTCTAGACTTATTTTAGTCTTTGTCTGCTGCGTGCCCTATTAATCTTTGTTTTCCAAAAGATGTGTGGACTGTCAGTGAGATACTGTCTGTTCTCAAGAGGAACTTCAAATGCTTTCTCAGTACACTCAATCATTTGATATCTATTCTTTCAGAGGAAAAAAAAAAAAAAAAAAAAAAAAAAAAAAAAAAAAAAAAGAGAACCCCAAAGTGAAATTGTCAGGGCTGACTGAGGCCTCTGTACTCTCCTGAATTCTAATTGCTTCAGCTTTTCCTGCAGAGGAGGAAATTAGGCTTGTCCAGACAAAATTAAGCTTATCAAAATAAATTAACATAATCTTGCCTATACATTGCTATCAGAAAGTTCCCAATACTCCAGCAAATACTTCAAGATAGATTCTGAAAAATACGTATCACTCAACAAGTGTTGAATAAATCTTTCTTAGATAAAAAATATAAAGATACAATTTCTTAGAAAGATTAGTCCTTCCACACGTCAGGCAAATGGCACATTGTATCCTTTCCAGCAAAAAGAACATTCATATTCTACTGTGCTTTAAAAAATTAATGGATTATCTTCTCATTTTTGGGTCTTGATTTCAGTTTGCTTACATGTAAGACAGCTGAATGACATTTCGCTAAAGACAGAAAAATACAAGCTCCAGTTCTGAGTTCAGACAGAGCAGGAAGGTTTGGAACTGTCAATCTCACAGTTATTAAACTCTAAATGTCATGACTAACACGCTGGGGTACACTTATTTTTATTTCTCCTATCTACAGTACTTGCTGAAGATCCCCACATGTTTGTTTACTTTGGAACTGATCATTAAAAGACAGGACTTTTTTCATTCTAGACTTCCTGATCTAGCCATCCACAACTCTTGGATAACATAATGGTGCTAATCTGAAAATCACCTGGACTTTTTACACTTTTGGGGTTCTTGGGTTTTTTTCAGTACATTTGAAAAAAGGCTTGGATTATGGTAGAAACTGCATTGGTAAGAAGTCAACACTTTAGATCCTTTATAAAATTACTTCATTTGTATTTGTATCATATTAAGGCATTACTATAACTCATTACCAATTTTTGAATCGTCATGACTTTAATATATGCCAGATCTTAATGCCTGCAATGTATTTAGCACAGCTACATTGTCATTTGCTTGCATAAAATTCAAGGCCTCACAGAAGTGTATGTCTCCAGCTATCTTTTAAACTAATTTAGATTTGATCACCCAGAATCTGGACACTTCCCCAGTTCAGATCTCGCCACTGCCCTGCCCAGGGTGGCTGGAATTTTAGGGAAACCCCAGCTACCTAGACAAAACTTGGATGAGCAAGAAAATAAAATGGTGCAAATCAAGATTTAAATAAAAGGAAAAAACAATTGACAAGTATGAAAACACCAGGGCCATGCTGATAACAGCTGTGTGATCCCTAACTTCTACATATCCTCCACAAACAGCCATATACATAAACAAGTCAGGAAAAGGAACCTTCAGGAGAAGAGTAAGCTTTGTGTAGCAACTTAGTTTTAAAATATTAATAAACTAGAGCTCCAATTCAGTGTATGCTAGATATGCTTACAAGGGTCACCCTTTAACACCAAAGAGTGTGTTCAAAGTATGAAATAGGAGTTTTACTATTTATCTGTGACTACAAAAACATTTACAGTTGCTATTTTTAAACTTCAGTAAAATATCTTCAGAAGGCTCCTTGATGATTCAGTCAATCTTCATGCCTGTATAACATTCCTTGTTTGATTTCAGGTTTAAGATTTTTTTATTTGTTGTTGTTGCACTCATAACATACCCAGAGCTTCACTGTTCTATCGTAAGAGCATGAAAGTATTTTTGTGTCTTCAAAGCCAAAATGGCAGGAGCTCACAGTATCACCGTGTCCTCTCGGCATTTTAAATTGGATCTGTAAAGGAACAGAGCAAAGTTTAGGAATATTTTTCCTTTAAATTATTTTTGACTGCTTAGTCCACAAGGGGGAGTATGAAAGCAATAACTGGAGGAGAATAAAAACTTTAAGTTCCACTTGTCTGAGAAGAGTTCACATCCTCTCCTTGGTACCAGCTTGGAGTGATTTACCAAATCTGGTCGAGAAAGAAAGGCTGACAGATGAAGATTTTAGTTTTATTTTTCCGGAAGGGAAGGTTTCTTTTGGTTTGGTTTTGTCTCTCAGTTCTTCTTCCCCTCATGAAAAGTAATAATTCATCTTTAAATCTCATGAAGGCTCTCTACAGTCTTGCAAACACTTGTTTCCTTGATGCTGGCCCATCAAAGGGCAGCACATCAAGCTCCGAGGCCACATGTTTTAGCTGAAACCATTACAAATTTTGTCAAAGATATTTTGAAAAGGCTTTTCTGCAGTCATGTAGGAGTTTGCTCATGACTGTCCAGTATGTGTTTGTGCGAACAGAGCTAACAGAAAACCAGCTGCCGCGAGCATTAACCACACGTAAAGTGACACGGAGCTTTCCAACCCTCGGCTTCCAGCAGCCCTCGACTACCCCGGGGCCCGGCCCGCCCCAGCCCTCCCCGCCCGCCAAGGCCGGGCCCTCCCGGCCTACCGGGGGACTCACGGTCGCCCCAACCGCCCTCCGCCGGGGAAGGCTCCGGCTCCGGCCCCAGGCCCAAGAGAGGCCCACGGACCGCGCAATGCAGTTGCCGCGGTTTTTTTTTTTTCCTCTAAGGGAGGCAACCTCAACGCCCAGTTTCTTGTTTTCCCTTCCATCACTCAAGTTTTCTTGTCGACTTTACATTTAAAACCGCACAATCTGTGTGTCAACACAAGACTATTATATCACTTCGCTCTCATCAAGAGCTGTCACAAAGCTGTGAATACCGAAAAAATGTACTAAATCAGGCCCCAGAGAACTGCCATCTACCACAGTGAATTTCAGTTTAAGGCTTTTGTTCATAGTTTTAAGCAGAAATGTTCTCGGTTTCCCTGTGCAAGACCCTGGAAAGAGAAGTTCTAACAGCCCGATCACTCCAAGAGCAGTGCAGTATTAGTTCACACTTTATATTAAAATAATTCTACAAGATGACAATGGCTTTTTAAATGCAGTGCATGAAACAAAAATAAAAGTGGTATAAACAGTTTCCGTTGTAAGTACATAAAATAAGGCAGGTTGTAATTATAGTACTAATCTTTTAGTACATTAGCCTTAATAATTTGTGTCAAAGTGACAGTTTATTGGTTTAGGTTTGCTATGGTAAATGCTATATACAATTTGGAGATGAAGAAAATAACTCCAAATACAGCCAGATACTGCAAAACTACAATGTGAAATTCTGCATTAGACTCATTAAAAATACTTGCACCCAATACAAATTTTACATTGCTTTAGTTTTTAACTTGCTAACTTAATTCAGACCAAAATTTACTCTCCAGCATTTTAAAGGTCCTAGGCAATGACTTACCACACAAAAATGATTTTTAATACTTAAGTTTATTAAAATATCTTGTTTCATGTTAATTAAAACAGAGCCTGCAGTATTTTAGATTATGCTGCCCAGAAAGGAGTCTTTTCAACATTCCATAATCCATACATTTTGAACATATGAAGCATCACAAAATAAACATATGCACATTTACTTTCAAACAAATTCAATATGAATACAGTATCTACAGTGCTTCGAAGTATACATGATTGATCTACCATCATGGAGGAGATCAAAAATTTGAGATCAAAAGTCACACAGCACTGAAGAAAGCAAGCTACCTCTTCAATACTGAAGTTGTTTTAATCTAAAAGGAAGAGAGAAAAAGAGGTCAGACTGAATAGAAACATGCAACATTAAGAATATTTAATTACTTGAGCAGTTTCTTAAACGTCAGTTTAAGAGACACATCTGAGTCATGTGAGATAAAAACATTTTCTCAGTGATGTAAAGAGAGACATGCAAATGTGAAGACTTCCAAAGTAACTGCTTGTACAAAGAAGTCTCACCATTCTGTGCAAAATGCATAAACCCCTATTTCATCTATTTAGAAATCAAAGGAGTAGTTGTTTGGGTTTTTAATAAGAAAACACCAATACATAACTGAAGCTCAGTTCCAAAGGAATGGAAAGCAGAGTCCTTTGGAATGGCAGCCTTTCCACTGGTACATGTCCGTTCCACTAAACCCCTAGACCCAAATCATTTTGCCACTAGGTCAGCTGGATGTGGTATTTCAACAAATGTGTTGAGAACTCTCCTTCAGCTAATAAGAGACACTAACCAGAAGCCAACACAGTGACTGCTCCATATGGGATGCACTAAAAGTTGACTATGATCTGAACTACAGACAGTTGCTTTTGTTTGTACTTTACTTCAAGTGTGTGAGCAAAATGAAATTGCAAATTGTTCTTTTTTGATTTTCACATTTCTGTTGGCACGATGTCGAAGTCTTTAGTTTATAAAAATGTAACAGCACAGTCTAAATTTAGCAGACATGTACATGACTCAAGCACTGTTCCGCTTGCTTCACTGCTCCCTGCTCCAGCACAGAATTATCTTAAGCATCAGTGCCACACAATGGATCTATTTGAATCAGATCTTTTGCTAATTATCAACAAACCAAAGCAGACTCAAAACATTCTGAAGTAGACAATGTTGCTTTCAGTGTCTCCAAGTAAAGAGAAGTAGACAAAGTAACAGACATATGAATCACCACCTGCACTTTTTCAATTTAATTCCCATTCAAAATGCCTTCCAAAAATATCAGTCATCTTTAACTATAACCTCCATTAACCAGAAGAGTTGTGTATTTAGTGCCCTTTACCTCAAGAGGCTTCTACCCTAAAATTAATTACCCTCTAGCCTAGGATACCTAATATTTGTAATCTTTCCTCACTTTATTAAAAAAAAAAGTGAGCAGTATTTTATAGTCATAGAGGGACTGGCTACATATTTGCTGCAAATAGGTTCACTAGAATGACAACTCATAAATTGAGGTTTTAGTTATCCACTGCAAAATTTGCAAGTGTTTAAGTAAACTTTCTGTTTACCTTCTTAGAAGTTCTTTGGGTGACAAGCCTGTGGTATCTATATCACTAAGGCTGTCACTGCTATCTGCAGTATCTGAGCTGCTGTCTTTTTCTGATTTTTTACTCTTGTGTTTTCCTTTGTTTTTCTGTTTCTTATGTTTCTTTTTCTGTAAAAAGAAGAGAAATAATCCTTTATTTCGTTGTGAAAGACTTGGGTTTTTCTGAAAGGCAACAACAGCAAAAAGTTGATTTCAGTGTAAACTCCAAGCTTAACTGAAACCGAACACTTAACAGTGACTCTTTTCCAATACTCAGGCTGAGCTAAAAAATATGTACCAAAATCACACATTTCATCCTAAACACTCAATCCCCCTAAAATAGAAATACCATTACTATTTGTATAGAAGCCATGAATTATACGCAGTTCTCAGAATATGCCCAACATCTTCAGCATACAACATTAAACTACCCACAATATTGTATCAGTAGTCACATTGTATACATGGAAACAGCAGCACCCTAGTTGGATAGTTTTCTGTTCTGAACTTCAGGTTTCAAGACACCCGAGAAACTCAGCTGCTTAAGTTCTAGTCCCAGTATATCTATTTTCTACAATCTATCACAAATAATAAAAAAATTTGACTGGCAGATCAAGGAATCAATAAACTGTTTATTTAAAATAAATACCTTTTCCTTCTTGTGTTTGTGTTCTCTCTTAGTCTTGTGTTTCTCTCTGTGCTTTCTATGTTTTTCTTTCCTACTAGGCCCAGGAAAACTTGCTGGCACCACTGCTTCTTGTTGCCAAGTAGGCCCTAAAAGCACAAAGCAAATGCAAAAACAAAAACAAAGACCAAAAAAAGGCAATTTTATTATTAAATCCTATATTACTTTTAATCTATAGGATAGTTAAAAAAAATTTAAAAAGCAAACCTAAGCTTTCAAATGGAAATGAAATGTCTAAAACTCCTAACTCCAGCCTTCCTACTGTAATTAAATGCCTTTGCAATCTGTTATTAAAAGAAACTGCAAGACTGGTCCTATATTTTCACTACAATTTTTTATCATTGCCTCTACAGAGCTACAACAAAACTGGTACACAGGCAAAGAGGTTCCTGCTAGTGGATCATAGCGTGGTAAAAAAGCATTTGCTGATGCCAGTTTAACATAATACAGGCCTTAATAGGTAAAGTGCCTATTCACAGATGTTTTTTAAAGAGAAATATCATGTATCTTACATACAACTTCAATGTGCAGAATTTACACACTAGAAGTCTACAGAACCTACCAGAATAAAAAGCTGGAGGCAGCTTTGGTCCAAACTCCTCTGTTGCATCCAGTTCCTGCTTTGAAGTAGGCAACAAAGAAACGCCAGGATCAGTTGTAGCAGCCACATTCTCTATGAAAAAACAAAAACTTCTTTATTTGAAAGGAAAATAAGGTAACACTTTTTCCAAGAAGTGCTGAAGAAAGTTAAAGGAGGCTTTCTAAAAACCTCTAAGAAAGCAAATTGATCAGCATCCTATATCTCTGTGGACTGCTTTGGCTGACTGGATAGCTGACATTCTGAAACATGTCAACATACTGTTGTGTTTTTTTTTTTTTCCTTTTTAATCAAAATTGACCTTTTACACTATACAATTACTAATTAAATTAGTATCAGTGCATGTATTTGTAACACAATACTACTTTTCCATTACTTAGAATGAATAAAAGACTCCACAAGATGTATGAAGTTAATGAACACTAAAAGTTAGATGTTAACAGAACCAACTGTGACAGTAAGTGGACAAAGTATTTCCATTGTAAGGTAAGTATATTGTACATTTTGTTAATTTAATGACATCCTGAAAATGTGGGAACTCTTTAAAGCTTGTTTATTAAATTTTACTAGGAAGTAAAGATTGGTCTTCTCCCTCTCTTGTGGAAGTATTCTCGCAACTTTTATAACTAGAATACAAATAAAATGCAACTTTTTGACATCTTAGAAAAATTATTTCGACATTATATTTTATTGGAATGTCAGTATTTAGAGAGTGAATTTAATTATCAATGAAATGCAAGTTATTTATTTCTGAAGTTGTCAAATATCCACCACAAGACAGTCATAATTTATCAATCTATCCTACAATGTATCATCAGTATAAAAGTTTCCCTGTATTTCTCAGTGACGTATGCTCTAACATTAGAGGTTTTGTTTCCCCTCACAGTTAAACAAGCATATTCCATAGGGCAGTTTGCCTATAAAAATCTACGCAAGACACATGGCAACGTAAACAACACTATAACATGCAAGGCCTTATTCAGTGCTGTATTATTCAGTTTGTACATGCCCAGCTCCACCAATGCCGGAGGATCTGCACAAGGGCATAGCACTGTCCCAGCAGTCCTGGAGTATTTGATTCATAAATGAAGCTTTTACAAGGCATTTATAAAAATGAACATCCATTAAGCACTACCTTGTACATTAGATGAAGAGCTGTCTGGTAGATCATCTTGCTTGGTAGTTTCTGAATCTATTACCAAAGTAGTTGGTTGCTGTTCTTCATCACTCTCTTCTTCAGAGGAAGATGATTTTTCATCTGAGGAACTCACAAAGATGGCCTTAAATAAGTCCATGGATGGTCTGCTTTCTTCTTCCTGATCCTTATCTTCATTAGCTACCTGCAGAACGGCATCATAACAAACTGTATTTATAAACACTAAAGAAACTAAGAGTCTCTCTCTGAAAAGTAATAACTTCAAATATGCTGACATGTATTTACAAAACACTCAAATATCACAATAGCTGTGAAATACACAATCTTAGGAACTGCTAGTCCAAAATAGTAACACTCTGGAACACTGCTAAACTAAGTCACTGTTCTGTAAAGGGTAGTGCAATTTGTGCTACACAGACAATTGAGAATAGATTCCCATGTATTATAAATTCTAATTCATTAATTCAAACTTCAATTACACACTACTAAATTTTAGCAAAAGGAAAACATCACCTTTCTCCCCAAAGTATGCACCCTCCTCCATTCAAAGCAGAAAAAAACCACATTCTGTGCCTGTGAGCAAAGTGGGTGTAAGGGACTGATTTTAACTCCCAGGCTGCTGAGCTACATTTTATCTTCTCTTAAGCTGCTACTTCAAGTATAGTCATACTTGCTGTCCTTGTATGCTGTAAATGTTTTACATCTCAGTCTTATAACCTCAAAATTCTTCAAAGTACAATCTCACATCTTTGCTTATCCTGAGTTGGCTCTTCTGCAAACTGACCTGTATTAAATCAATTCATACATTACCCAACCTTCTTTCAGGACTGTGAAGGTTTACAGCTATTCCCCTTTAAGTTCAAACACCGTTGTAAACTCACCTCAGTGGTAAGAGTTTCACTCGGCCCAGTTCCACATTCTTCTGCTGCTGGCACTGGTGGCTGCTGCTGAACATCAGCTTTTGATCTAGCAAGACTAATGAATTCACTGATAGAATCTTTTTTCTCCTTCTCTTTATCTGACA